CAAGTTTGAATTTTCCGACATACTCTGGCAAACAGAGTACGGTACAATTGGAATTGGGCCCATTGGGAAGGGAAAAAAATAGTAGTAGTAGTAGTAAATAAATGACTATAAACTTTCATAGCGGGCGGCTTTCCGTGTATAAAATTTTAAATTGAATGAAACATGTGAGCAGGTTGGCCGGAATGATTAAGAAAAAGTGATTTGTTGATTATATTTAATTTTTTTATGGAAATCATTTTTAATTAATATACACATAGAAAAGTGTAGACAATGCAACTGAACAAATTGCGATTTATTTTAATAATTGAAGAGATAGTAGCCTAGTAGGCCCCTCTTATATTGAGTATTAGAGAGTTTGGCTCTTTAACAATGATTTAAGAGCCTTTAGATGAATTAAATAAAACATATTACATTGATATTTTAAATATTAATTAAAGGAAATGTTTTAAAGTTTAACACTCCAAAATTATTTTAAGAGTTTTATATGTACTTCCTTTTGTTTTATTGATGTGCTCTATGCATATGGTAATTGGATCTTTGAAGGTGATAAATAGGTATTTGGTATAAGAATAAATATTCATTTATATAAGCTTTATGTATTCTATTTAGATTAATTTTTAATTTTTAATTTTTTTATTTTAATAATTAAAATTTATCATAATTTTGAATAAAAATATAATTATTTTTAACAAATAATTAAACTTTTAAATGTAATGTGTATAAATCAAATCACTACTCTTTCTTTTTCTTTTCTTTCTTATTTCAAGAATTGGGAGAAGGGGCAGGGAAACTAATGGAGAAGGGATATTAAAATTTAATTGTATAGATACCAACGATATAACTAGTTTAATAATTATTATTTTTTTGTTAAAAATAAAATGATTATTTCTTATTATACAATTAAGATAAAAAAAAATTCTATTGTATAGGTAAAACATCCAATCACACCACCCCTACCAAGGTTCAATCAAATCAAATCGCTACTCTTGATGAGTAAAGACTAAGATAATAATCTCACAATAAAGTCCACTTGGTACGCGCAATTTCAAAGAGAAACTGTACCGTTAAAGTTACTCATGAAAAGAAACGAAAAAAAAAAATAAAGCCAAAAGAAAAGACAAAACGGGTCGGGTTTTCTTTTATCAAAGACCTTTATCAACGGTAACTAAAAAGGTTGTGAACAATCCAGCTAATCAATCCCCCTTCTTCTCATCATCAAGATCAAGAAACGGTGAGAATCTGTCTTTTATTTTTTCACAAAACTGCAAATTCACTGAGTTTACAGGCTTTATCTTGTCAATCTTGTATTTTCCCCTCTCTTTTTTTTTTTTTTTTGAACAATATCACATGGGGTGGGTTTGAACCTGCCCAAGGGTGAGGGAATGCATCTTCACGTGGTCAGAGCCCACTTGGCCCAAAGGACCATATGCTTTTTTTTTAAAAAAAAAATGGGGTAAAAGTAAAAGATATACTTACAAACTTATGTAGAATTCCCACATTTTGTAGCCATTGTCCATTGTAGGAACGTCTCCACACTATCAAGACCGCAGAGCTCCTTGACAACAGGCGGGGTGGCAGGGACTGGCAACTGGAATGTTGAATCAGACTCATCTTGACCACGCCACGAAAGAAGTTGTTTCCGGGCTTCTTCTATGGCTGCTCTTGTAGCACAGTGGATTGAAACTGCTAGTAGTAGTGGCGGTTCACCAGAAGCTGCAAAAAATAGCACATTGAAGAGCCTTACATGAGTGTCTTGAAAATGATGGTGAAATTTTGAAATTGTCGACAGAAGGAAGTTATTAGAATTTGATGAGTGTTTAACTTGCCTTTGGAAGATAATACACGCTTTTCATGATGTCCACTGCTGAGGATTTCAACATTGAACTGTTTGGGTATTGTGTCCACTGTAGGGATCTTGTATGTCCAGGTGCCTTCCGCAACCACTAATCCATCTGAATTTTCTGAGTATTCTTCAAGCATAAAGAACCCAATTCCTTGAACAAAAGCTCCTTCAATCTCCATGCATTGAAAACTTTAATGTTTAATTGATCTTGTTGAGTGGGAAAATACCACATTGAGAATATAACAAAGAAACATGTGTATTAAATACAAGGAAAACTACTCCACCAATTGCTAATTGATTTTAAGTTGGATGCAAACCCTTGTGTTGAAACCCACATGCCCAATTTTCACAGATCTTAATTAGCGAGGTTACTGGCAAGTATTCAGAGCATTCAGATATGTAAGCGATATGTAAGCTAACCTGTCCCAAATCAACAGCAGGGTTTAAGCTTTGGCCACAATCATATGTAATATCAGTACGCAAAAATGTGGTTTCTCCGGTTAGAAGGTTTACCTCCACCTGTAATGCCATTGGCTTCATAATTAGTATCCATAAGATCACTTTAAAATGGCAATATGATTTTTACAAAAGCAAGAAAAGCAAAATGGGTGTCACAGATAAACTTCTCTTTTTGTTATAAAAGGAAATTCTTAAAACTAAAACTAGCCTTAGATAAAGTTACCTCACTTACTGCAGCACCATAGTTGAGGTATTGCATGGAAGAAAACTCAGGTACATATAGTGTATTTGTCGATAAGTCCACAGCATTCAGATATGCCTGCATTTAGCAGGAAAAAGGGAATTTGTCTAATCAAAATATATCTAAAGAAAATGCTACAATATATCCTGAACAATCTGCCCAGAAACTAGTTATTCTCGTGATGTGAGTGCATCAGAAGTGAACAAAGGACACAATGTTAAATCAGTTCACATATACTTCCTCCTATTTGACTAGCATGCTTGACTCAAGAATATGAGAATGAGAATCTCCACTCAAATGATAAAAGGAAAAGGCTGCTCCTAATATTCAGTAATTACATCCATACTTTCCAATATATAAATTGAATTTTTCTTTCTCATACATTATTTTACCATCTGAATGATCATTCTTCTGAAAGTGCTGAGAGCTACCTGAAGAATTAGGGTCTCCCACTTTACAGCTCCCATTTGCTCCACCAATTTTTCCTTGAGAGGGGTAAGTCTCTCAACCAAAATGTTGCAGCACAACCTAACTGCTTCACAGCTTGACTCAGATGTAGTACTGCCAGCAGTAAAACCCCCTTGAATTAAACTCAAGGTATCAGATTGTATGACCCTTACTTTCTCCACAAGGTCTCCTGTTCCATCACATTGGATCAAGCTAAGAGCATATGCAGTCATCTGTTTAACTTTTGTCCAGAGCCCCTGTCCCAGCTCAATTCCTCCAACTTCAACAACAACGGATCCATCACGGAGGATACTTACTTTCCCTGGGGTTGGTCTCTGCATCACCTCATGCACAATAGGCACTCGTGAGATGCCCCTTTTCTGCCATCTATTATTCTTATTGAACTCTTTTATCATTTCAATCCTATGGTCTAAGCATGAAGTCAAGGCCAACTTATCCCAAATTGACGGTAAAGTATACTCCAAAGGTTCACCTGCACCGCCCTCAAAAAATAAACGAAGGCTGTCATAGCTGTGGAGATTAATATGTCTGACAGAATCAACCTCCATGGAAAGGGTTGATGCTACATGTTCAATTACAGCTTCAGCAATAAATGTTGACTGTACCTCACCAGGGGCCCGCATTGCTGATCTACTCTGAAGGTTTGTTCTGCATACCTTTATATCAAAAGACAAAGCACCCCAGTCATACTTTTTAAGTGCACAAAGCATGTTGTGTGGCATTACTGGACTTATATCAGCAGACATTCCTGCTTTGATTAATATTTCAAGTTGTAGGGCTGTAATCTTCCCATTGCTTTTGAATCCAACACTGTATGTTATTTTCATTGGATGCCTTCCTCCCGCCATTATCATGTCAGTCTTGCGATTGACATATATCCTGACTGGACGGCCTAATTTGTGAGCAGCAAGTGCACATGCAGTAGCAACCTATAAAACCACCTTGTAAGTAGTCTGGTAGAAACAAGAAGGGGATATAAATAAACGATTCAAATAACTTACTGGAGAGAGAGAGGTTATAAATAAATAAACCTGAAAACTTTTAAAGTAATAAACCAACTCGTATAACATTTTACCACTAGATCAAACCTGTCTGCCTCCACTCTGAGCCATCTTCCAGTTAACCAAAATAATAATGAATACAGCTGAGTTAAAATGGTGATAGACTTGGACAGAAACCACATCAAGCATGCAGGTTATTTCATCCCAAACAGAATAAATAGCTTATCAAATGGCCAATGTGAGACCATTAATTGTTTATTCATTTCTGGTTCTCAAATCATTTTATTTGAGACGTGGAAACAGGAACATGCATGCATGCCCTTCAACCATAGAGAAACAAATTTTCCCTAAACAAAATAATGAATTATGAAAATTACACGGCATGATACTCACAGGCATGGCTTTTATGGACTTTCCACCAAATCCTCCTCCAACCCTTCTTGTAATCACACGCACATTATGTTCAGGAACACCAAGGCATTTAGCTATTACCACATGGCAAAACTCAGGGCATTGAATTGAACTGTATACTACCATGCAGTTGTCTTCATCTGGCACAGCAAGTGCAGTTTGTGTTTCCATATAGAAATAGTACTGCGAACCAAGTTTGATCTGACAGTTCAACAAGTATGAGTTCCTTGATTCCAAAAACAGAAATGAAAATTAAAAACTTACATGAGAAAAGTTAATGATTGGCTTTATAAATAGCTGGTTCAAAATGAATTTGAAAGAGCAGTTAAAATTCCAAAAGAAAATTTATTTAAAACAAAAAAAAGGGGGGATGAAAAGCACTGGTTGCAGGTAATCAGAGAGCCAGAAAAGGGATGCTAGTGGAGGTAGGGAGTCCAAGAAGAAGAGGCCAAGCAGAGAGAGAAGCAGAAATAGGAATCATGAAAACTACCTCAGCAGAGAGAATTTTGTGATCAGCTTCAGCCATTCCCTTAGATACATCACCAACTGCTTTGGGGTAAAGAAAAGGAGGGACCTCATAAAAGCTAGATCTCTCAACAGCCTGTTCTACAGATAATATTGGTGGTTCTAGATTTTCAATGTCGTAATCTACAAGGGCATCATTTGCTGCCACATCTGCAAGTTTTTGTGTATCTGCAACCTGAAAGTCCTTTGAATTATCAAATTACTGAAAGTACCATTTACTTGAGAGATTCGACATCAAATCCTGTAAAAGAAAACTCAATCTCTAGTAGCATGACTGTTAATATTTGTGGAAAATTACAAAGCAAAAACATAAGGCAAGTACATCTATATGGAATAAGGACAAAACCATGGAACTACCACAAAGGCAATGCGCTGACCAGCACACTGAGTAAGCTCGTCAGCAAACAAAGGTTCTGTACCAAATATGGTCATTGAACCTACGTTCTCCCCAGGAATATCTTTGAAAGAAATAAGTGCAGTGACTCCATCTGGTAATGATCCAGGCTTAAATTTTATACCATTCACCCGTGCCAAAGGCTTTCTGCTGTATATAAATGCTCCATGCAGGCAATTTCTGGGAGATGGAATGTCATCCACAAAAACAGCCTCACCTACAAAATTGGCTAAATGAGCATATATAGTCTGATTGTTGAGAGCTTGCAGCAACAAATAAATGAAGTTTAAAGATGCAAATTGAAAGCTGAAGCAAAAAACTGATTGACTCACAAAGATGACTGTCAAACAATGGTGTTCATAGAATGACCACAAAGTAAGAACCATAGTTAGCTTTGACAGGATAATAATCAGTGATCATCACAAAGCAATTAATTTTTAACTAAAATTTTGGACAAGGGACAGAGAGAGAGGCCCTATACTTTGACCAACTAGTAAATTATCTTTACTAAGTTTCATGCAGCCACGGAATAGCAGAAAAGTTCCACTAAAATTAAATTTATTCAAAATTACAATAAGGAAATTAGAAATTGAATAACAGGGTACAACAAACCAGAAGCTTGGATGGTAGCTCCGGATTTTTTAAGTGGCTCCCCAACTGGATGATATTTTTGACTTAATTGAACCACCTGCTTTGCAGATGATAGCAGCGTTGGGGATGTCAACCGGCCATTGTTTTGTTCTATTGTATAATTCTTCAATAACAAAGTACTACCATATCCATTCAACAAACCATTAGAAATTTCAACACTGATGTCAGACAAGGGGCTTAAGAACTTGAAAAGGAAGCCAATTGCCAAGCTTGACCTGTAAGCACTATAGGAGGTACCATCTTCAGGTATCACAACAGTTTCAAGTAATTTAATGGCATCATACAGGACCCCACCACTTAGCACCTTTCCAATTAGAAACTTTTCAACCATCCGTGCCCTGATGGAATGTTTGGTCCCATAAGCACCAAAGGCCAACTTACACTCTTTTACCATAGTTGTATTAGAACTTTTAGAGGGAGAAACCTCAGCCAAGAAAGCAGCATTTAAATAGGGCAATGCGTTTCCAAGTGGCCGTGGTGCAGGTCGATAGGTATCAAACAGCAACTCAGTGTTGGTTTCAGGAGAACTATTCCTACTTAAATCCCAATATGGGATTTTAATGCTTAAAAGAACACTTCTTGAATCCAGTGGAGGCCTCCCAAGAAACTCCTCCAGGGTAATCCTTTCCTGTCTCTGTGCAGCCATTACATCCACCATTGTGTCCACAGCAAGCAGTACCGTAGTGAGATCTGATGGAAAATATTTCCTCTGTGCCATCACCAAATTTCCCCCTATGCTCGCTGAATTCCTAATGAACCCTGAAGCAATCTTTTCCAAATGATCAGCAATTTTTTTAAACATCATCTTACCTCCTTGGTGAAATTCACATTTAGTTTCTTCCTTCAGAACTTCAACTGCCCTGGAGATTGTTACAGCTGCTCCAATTTCTATACCCATCTGGTCTTTCCTAATCATTGAGAGCTCAGGAACATACCTCAAATCAATGTATTTGTCATGGTGTTCTTGCTGTTTATAGTAACCACTTCCTGTGTTACCAACAACAAATTTCATTGAGGTCCCATTACCGACCTCATTGGATTGCAGCAAGCTTTTTAGCTGCTGAAGACTGACAGGTGAATACCAACAATATCCCTCAGAAGCCACAGGGACAGTTACCTTGATTTCCTTCTTCAAGAACTCAGGAAACATACAAATTGCATTATTATGTGTTAACAAGGGTAATCTACTCTTTTTTAATTCATTACTCTCTCCTTTTCTCCAAAAGGTGTTAAATCCCAAATCCTCCATATCAACATCAGCTGCAAAACTTTTACAAGCATCAATAATGGGTCGATAACCAGTACAGCGACAAAGATTTCCTGCAATAGCCTTTTCAGCTTCACAGACTGTCAGCTTGGAGAATCCTAGGAAGGGTTCTGGTCGATTGGTCTTCTCAGCATTAACAATGGCTGAAAAAAGAGAAACACACAGCCCAGGCGTACAAAAGCCACACTGGGAAGCATGAAAACCTGCAAATCTTTCCTGAATTGGGTGGAATCCAACTTTGCTATTTCCAAGTCCCTCAGCTGTAGTGATTGAACAACCATTTACACTGCAGAGCAATGTGAGGCATGAACTGATGGAAAAATCCTCTACTTGGTCCTTGACAGTGTCATACTTTGACAGTAGGACAACGCAAGCACCACAGCCTCCTGTTCAGACAACAAATAAAAGAAATAATGGACTTTTGTTATTCCCCAAGGTCCCAAGTAACGATAAGAATCCAATATGTCCAATTATTTTCTCTTTGTTTGATTTCTTCCAAATGACTACATCAAACAAGCATATAAATATGAAATACAAAAACTAGCTTCCCATGAACATAGCACTAAAACAAACAATCTCCACACAGATCAACAGTAGTCAAAACATGAACAACCCATTAAAGCTTTCTCATATATGGTCGTGCAACTAGAAGTATATCCACGAAGGTCTGGAACTATCATCAAGCAATCCCATTTAAACACTAAACAGCACAATAAAAAAAGAAAGTACCCATGTCCAATGCAGCAATTATAATTGAGAAGAAAACCAATTGAACAACCACCACCAAGAAAAAGCACAAACCCCATTATTAACAAAGAATCCATTTATATAAGCATCAAGCAGCCAAACAATACATCGTATTGTTTTATTACATGCATGACAACCCATAACTCACCATTGATATTAAAAAAATCCCATCATCCTATTAAAGAAAAGTTAATCCAGAATGAAACAGATCCTGATTGATTAAATCCAATTAAAAAAAAAAAACCCATTAGCATCCACTTCAGTCATCAGTCATCACTACAGCATAAAATGGAAAACACAGAGAAGAACACATGTAATTAATTATCTATGAAGCAGAAGTACAGAAAAGAGAGACCTTCGCCACAGCTGAGCTTGGCACTCTTGAATGGAGTCCCCAAACGCAAGAATTCGAGCAAGGTAGTAGAAGGGTCGACATCGGAGAGCTCAAACCTCTGTCCATTGACCGCAAATACCAGCCTCTGAATTCCTTTCTGTCTCTGCCCTCTCATTTCTCTGAGTCACTGAAACCCAAAACTGCTTCTGAAAAACACAGCTGCTGGTTTCTCTAGTAAAGCAGCAGGGGAGTGATGATGTCAGAACAGGAAGAAGAAGGCTTTGGATTACGATGCGCATTTTGTTCGGTCTATACTCTTGTCTACCTAAACAGTTCCTGTTCCTTTCGTAAGTTGTACGTATATTTTTATTAAGATAAACGGTCCATAAACCTTGAATTTGAATAATATAATATATGAGTGGAATGGGATAGAAAATAAGTGATGATTTTTATTGTGTAATAAAAAAAACAAAAATTTGGACAGATAACTGGATAAAAGATGAGTGATGATCTTATTGTGTAACTAAAAAAATAAAAATCTGGACAGATAACTGGATAAAAGATGAATATTTGATATTAAAAGTATTTTTTAATATTTTTAATTGTATAATTTATTATGATTTAAATTTA